GGGCATGCCCCCCTGAATTTGACCAAGATTTGATGTTTTGCAATAAGGTTTGAAAGGCTATCTCTCCATATCGGCACGCAAATCAAAAAGTAATCGTTTAGACTTAAAACCAGAAATAATCGTCATTGGGGTCAAAACTAGATCTAGATCTAGAATCTATATTAGATTCTAGAATTTCCCTGTCACAGAAGTCGGGACCACCCATGGACCATATCCAAGTACAGTACTGTCTGGCCATCTCGGCCGTCTGGACAAGTCGGCCGCCCGCCTAGGGGAGTGTTGTTCCAACTCGTTTTAAAGCCAATCTTATTCGGATATTTTGTTAATTTATAAACCAATGTAATCTTTGTTAAGTAATGCTAACAATCTCGCACGTTTTGTTTCCCTTTCACCCGTTTTCACTGAATGTTTGTTCCTTTTTGCGACAGAGCCAGGTAAATCGAAAGTAGGTCCACCATTTTTTCATCGTCTCCATAACTTGAACTATGCATACTCATAAGGTCATAGACATGCGCAGATGCTATATTACTACGTCATATGACCTGGGACGGAAGGCAAAGACGTTTTTTGTCTATTCCGGGAACGAGGGGAAGCCCTTCTTGCATTGGAGGGATGTGGTGGGGTGGTCGAGTCAACCGGACTAAAAATGTTAAGTGTCCGGGTTGTTCGGCCGGGGCTGGCCGAGCTTTATAGACTCAGTTCGCGCATATCGGCCTAGTGCACAATATGTTTTTAAAATATATTTTCAAGCTTAGCCTACCCATTTTTTATTTTTTTTATTGTTTAGGCCTATTGTTTATTTTTATTATTTCATTTGTTGCGTACATTAATTATTTTTGTGGCCAGTGAATTCGATTAAATGGATTATTATACCAAATTTGGTGATATTCATGGATTGTGTTGCTTGCACCAAGGTAAGGTTACAATTTTATTAAGGCGCTGGTTCTATTTTTCCCAACGTTCGGGAAAATAAACTTGAACTCTTGTTTCTCCGAACGGTTTCCGTTCTCGAGATTAATAAACTGTTGATAATTTACGAATGGAGTGACCCGTGCCTGCGCGCGCGCGTGTGTCTGTGTGTGTTGTGTGTGTGTGTGTGTGTGTGTGTTTTGTGTGTGTGTGTGTGTGTTAGTAAGTGAAAGTGCGTTGCGTGCGTGCATGCGTGTGTATGTGTGTGTGTGCGTGTGTTTGCGTGCGTGCGTGAATAAGGTGTGAACGAGGCGTGTGGGAGCGGGGCGTGGACGGATTTTTTTTTGTTTAGGCTACATACATGAAGGATTTTAGCTTTTGCTTTAGGGTTGACTAAATGCAAAATAGGTTACTGCCAAGGTCGAGCTGTCCTGTTTTCTTGCAGTACCTTTTGAAGGCATTTTCAAATGAAGTATAGTCCAGGAACATTGCCCCGACCACAACTGAGGTATCTGAATATTATAGTCAGACATTCAAAAATCTCTAGATTCTAGCTCTAGAAATTGAATTCGATGCAAAAACGGCTACTTCCCAGTCCTTGCTGAATGGCAGAATGAACGATGCATAAATCCCGCAAATCTGTTTCTTTTTATTTGACAGAAGGGTGTAAAATGGATTTCATAATTACATAATTTGAATGAGTGGTTTTGAGGGTGATTGGGGTGAGACTGAGATTAATGAATCATCATCAATGCCTTTCACCCCTGGCAGGGTACCCATAGGCCACACAAGCTCCTTCCATTCATCTCTGTCCTGGGCCATCCTTCCAAGCTCGTTCCAAGTGAGCTTCATCTCTTGTCCATTTCCACACGCATCTCCTCCTCGTTCACGTGGCCTACCCCTGCCTCGTGCTCCCTGTGAGTTCCACTGCAGTGAATGTCTTGTGATGTTTCCGTTGGGCTTTCTTAATAGGTGTGTCCCATCCATCGTCACTTTCTTAGTCCTATTTCTACTATATGCCTCTGTAGTTGTTACAGTTGCTGAGGTCTCCTTTCATTTACAGCTTGATTAGGTGACCTTCCTTCCAGTCTGATGGTATTTCCTCCTTTTGGTCTCCTTGACAGTGCGCCACGGGGGCGCACGGCCAGTTTGCGGTACCTACAAGCAGTTTTGAAGTCAGTTTTGCAGCCTTCCCCTTTCCTTTACCCCTCTTTTTCCTCCTTTTGCCAAACCTTTTCAAATAGAGCACAGAGAATTTCCCCTATAATGTATCTTTAGCTGCCTTAAGGGCCTCCGGTGGTGTATGGCCGGGACCATCTGCCTTGATGTTATAGCTGCCGCATTTTCCTCTCTCGAAGGTGATTCCATAACTATTGTGGGGTCTTTTCTGGCTGGAAGAATTTCTGGTTGGTTTTCTGGAGGTGGTCTGTTCAAGAGTTGATCACAGTGTTCTCTCCCTCGGTTAAGTTGCCGCTTTGGGTAAAAGATAGTCCTTCTCTCCTTGTCTTTCACTGGTTGAGTAGGCTTGCTGAACCTTCTTGACAGAGTTTCTGTTGTCTGGTGTACAATCTGCAAGTGTCCGTCTGTTGCTGCTTTCTCTACCTTTTCGGCCAGGTCATTCAGGTAGGTATTCTTGTCCTTCTTGATGGAACTCTTTACCTCCCAAACGCCCATATTCATGGAAATCGCAAATCACAATTTTCAGGGGAGGGTTGGGGGGCTGTGTGTGGAAGGACCGGGGGGAGGGCAGTGCGAGTTGTCGTGCCTACCTGATCAGCTACACCGTTCTACGGACAATATTGAAATCTGTCGATTCAGATCAAAAAGGCCTATAATTGATGAAAGGTGTGATTGGCAAGATCATAATATTAGTTCTGTTAAAAAATAAATTAGCTAATAGAAATGTACGGTACTGCAATTTTGCTAAAAGCTAGACCCTTACTTTGAAACAAAGCCTTACTAACTCTTTACCAGACATTGTTTTGGTGCCTTATTTAATCAATGAAAACTATTGTTCAACTATGGAACAGTTTGGACGAAGATTTAATTTACATTAATAACAATTTATGTACTTCGAAAAAAGCTTTAGGCTGATCCTCCAAAACTCTACTAGCATAACAATTTTAGAGATATATATTTATAAGCGAAGTCATTTTGTCACACATAATTGGGGTGTGACGAGATCCGTTTAACGAAATGACTGGTTACCCCAACTATATGTGGCTTGAACCAGTGAAGAAACAATGACATATAATTTTAAAGACATGGAAGAAGCAAAACAGAGTGAGGAGAGGAAGTAGGGATCTAAAAGAAAGCAACCAATGAAGAAGAGAAGAAAAGAAAACATGCAGAAAAGAAAAGCAGAGAAAGACTGAGGAGAGCAGGAAAAAAAGGATGAAATGAGAAAAAAGAGGGGTAAAGGAAAGGGGAAGGCTGCAAAACGTTTGAGGTTTTAGGTAATTAGTAGCAGTGAGGGTGAAGCAAATAGGCCTACATGCATTTGAGTGATGAGTCTGAAGTGATGTTTACAGCCACATGCACGATATAAATGAACAGTAATACAATATTTAAAATCTTAAGCTAGACTCAGTATTCTGACGGTAACTCAAACTCAATGTTATTCTGATGCATGCTCTAAAGGTCTTATGAATACTTGAAACAAGATGGTTAAGGTGGAAGAATTTTGATGGATGATGGTAAAAATGACCTGCTGTATCTTTCTTTGTTACGGGTCAGAAGCCTAGATCTAGGTCTTTTACACTTCTAACTTGTGTTTTAATTTGAGGGATGGAATTTTTTAAAATTTTCAGTGCAAGCTGTAAGGTACAATTCATCAAAGTAGGGGAATGTAGATCTTGAAATTTTGGAAGTACTCCCATAACGAGCGACCACCCCAACATTAACAAGCTCAACAAGGAAGAGACCTAACCCTAACCATATCCCAAACCCTAATCCTATCCCTCACCCTCTATATCTACTCTGTTCCTTGGTGGTCGCTCGTTACGGAATTCCTCCCGAAATTTTCCATGCTTTCCGTATCAATCAGTTTAATTTTTCTTTATCTTGTTGTCTTGTGTTCCCGGCCCATGCTGTTATACAAAAATTAATCTTACTTTCTAGGGTAGAATGATAGAATATGGACATCAATGTTTTATCAACTTTAAAATGCATAGCTCCCTCAGACAAAATAGTCTTTTGATCACTTTTTATACAGGACAGAAGTGTGGACATACCAGTAAGTGTCGTTGTTTCATTCATTGAAAGAGAGTGAAAAGAAAATTCATCATAATATATAGATCTATATATTTAATATAATATGTCAGTCACTCTGTTTGTCCACTTGTCTGTCTGTATATCTACTTAGGTCTAAGTGTCTGCTACAGACTGCATTTCTGTCTCTTCTCTCTCTGTGTCTCTATCAGGTGTGGAGTCTTTTTATCTTCTTTTTTCTTCTCAAAATGTCTCTGCTCCTTGTAACAAAACTATGACAATGAACAGCATGATGATTAGAGCATCCTAATTACTCCTCTCCAAGTCAGAATATTTCTCCCTTTTGAATGTAAAAGTAGTCTTAAAGGTTTTAATTCACACTAGAGGACCAGAGAGATAAACATGGGTGTTATAGAGCATAATTCTAAGTGGCCGACATTCCCGGACCATTTCCAAAATGGGTGGCCGACCTTCCCAGACCCCTCCGGCCGACTCGTCCGGACCCGGCCGAAAATGAGCCAAAAATGCGAAATGAAATTTTGCCGAGTGACCCACAAAATAATAAACGATAGTTCATTCCACTACCACCATCATGTAGAGGATACTTTTCTGCTTCTTTTAAGTGGTTTCCCGTGTGTCAACAACAATTGAGGCTCTCACAGTGTTGAAATAAAAACAATATTTCTTAGGCAGGGGGCCGAGATGGCCAAACAGTACTCTAGATCTAGATATAGATCTAGATCTAGTGCCGAAAATAATAACACAATGTGCACACTTCACTATGTCCAACTTTAAAAAAAAAAATCATCCTTCACTAATAGAGAGTTGGGAGGAGAATGGAGATAGAGTCTAGATCTAGATCTAGTAGGTAACATACATACCGGTAATATTCAGGCAGACTTGGTTTCTCTTTCCGACCCAAAGCCCAAAACTCAATTTCTTCGGAAATGTCCAATTGTCCAATGTACCGGAAGTTTAGAGTTTAAACAAACAGCTGGTAATAAAAGAAGAAACAGGAATAGCAACAAAATGCATGCTAGTTGTTGAAGGACAAACAGTCAAAAGAAGTAAACATTTCCCGCAAAAAATATACCATTGCAAATAAATGGATAATCAAATTGTTAGAGACATCACACAGTAAAATTAAGACTAAAACACGGGTCTGAAAATGGTCTTTTAATTCGTCGGGAGGAAAACATTGCTATTTTGAATAGGCTAGGGGAGAACACTCTGACAAAAAGGATTGCATTGTGTATTCTGCTGAGTGACGACAACTGGTAATTTTCTTGTCAACTTTCAGAGAGAAGAGAACAACATAATGGCCGTCCTTCTGTCTTCAAAAGCTTTTAGCTGTCATGTACTCAGTTTGTCCTTTGCCAGAAATATTCGTCAAGCTCCATTTACCAATGGCCATGCATACCATCTCTTGAGTCAAAGGGGTTCGTTCCGTGGGAACACCTTTCACAAGTTCAGGCACAGGAAACCTCCGCAATGCCATCAGACGACTGTGAGCTATTATTCTAGGGAGTGTATACAGACCCGGTAACCGGGAACAAAGTCACAAAGTATACAGACCCGGTAGGGGAACTCTTTTGTGATTTCGGAAAGTTTCAGCGCCCTCTTGGCTCAGGGTAGACCTAGGTTCTTCTGGTAGATCTATGGCCTAGGCTAGGTCTAGATCTAGATCTAGATCTAGATCTAGACAGACAGACATAAATCCTTGGTCTAGTTTCGAGGCTAGCCTAGATCTAGTTCTAGATCTAAATGAAGATTGCGGATGTCTTTTCGATGAACGATCGTTTTTCCTCCGTTTTGGAGTTGGAGGAATTACAATTTGAAGAAAAGAACAATGTCATAATTTCTCTCGAGCAGTCATCCTCTCTATTTCTCTCTCGCTCTGTTGCTCGCATTCTCTTTTTCTTTGTTTGTCTCTGTTTTTCTTTCTCCCCACCTATTTCCCACTAGACGTCTATATCTCTCTCGTTCCCTCCTGCCAACTGGGGCATGTCATACATTTTGCCAGCACTTCCCCCTGCTCTCTCTCTCTCTCTCTCTCTCTCTCTCTCTCTCTCTCTCTCTCTCTCTCTCTCTCTCTCTCTCTCTCTCTCTCACACACACACACACACACACGCACACACACTACCGGGTCTGGGAGCTGAAACTTTCCGAAATCACAAAAGAGTTCCCTTACCGGGTCTGTATACTTCGTGACTTTGTTCCCGGTTACCGGGTCTGTATACACTTCGATTATTCTATTACATTACATATCTACTCGGCGATTTTGTAGTTTCGTTCGTTAACACGGCAGTACTGTCGCGCTGGGTTTAGGGGTCAAGAGAGTCAGTTTACTGATGTTGCTGTATTCATTTGTATGTGTGTGTGTGGGGGGGGGGGGGGGGTGTACATTCTATATATGCCTGTGTGTATGTGTGTGTGTGTGTGTGTGTTTTGTTGAAATATATGATGTGTTAAAGGCTATAGGGGTGTCGCGGTGGGGAGGGAGGGGGGGTGGGGGGAAAGAGACAGAGAGAGAGTGAGAGAGAGTGTGAGAGAGAGTGTGTGAGAGAGATAGAGAGAGAGAGAGTGAGAGAGAGAGTGAGTGAGAGAGAGAGTGTGTGAGAGAGTGTGAGAGAGAGAATGTGTGACTGAGAGTGTGTGAGAGAGAGTGAGAGAGAGTGTGTGAGAGAGATAGAGAGAGTGAGAGAGAGAGTGAGTGAGAGAGAGAGTGAGAGAGAGAGAGTGTGAGAGAGAATGAGAGATATATATAGAGAGAGTGTGTGAGAGAGAGTGGGAGAGAGAAAGAGTGAGAGTGGGAGAGAGTGAGAGAGAGAGTGTGAGAGAGAGAGTGAGACAGAGTGAGAGAGAGAGTGAGAGAGAGAGTGAGAGAGAGTGAGAGAGAGAGTGTGAGACAGGGAGTGTGTGAGACAGAGAGAGAAAGGGAGAGAGAGAATTAGAGAGAGAGAGAGTGAGAGAGAGTGTGAGAGAGAGAGAGAGAGTGTGAGAGAGTGTGTGAGAGAGAGAGTGTGTGAGAGAGAGTGTGTGAGAGAAAGAGTGTGTGAGAGAGAGTGAGAGAGAGAGAGGGAGAACATAATAAATGTTTTCATTATTTTCAAAATGAGTGTGATAGCAGAATTAGATTCTCTACCCTAAAATTCACATGAAAATGCCAAGTTTCATCCCATTATTCTCTAATGAACATTTTCCCCTCAAAATACTTCAAGAAACGTCTCACTTTTTGGCGATTTTTAAAAATAAATAGTCCCCAAAATTTTGCAACAAATAGTCCCAATATAACTCTTTTATTTTTATCAATGGACTTTTAAAATTAAAAAAACCACAGTTCTTAGAATCTAGTTTTAAAGGAATTTTGATACAAATTTAATTTTTCATTGTATTTGCCATATTATCCATGCAATTTTTTTGTTCCTATGAATAAAAAAATGTAGATCTATCTTTTTTTGCTTAAATTTTTCACTTTAAGGAAAGACAAATATTTGATATGCTCTACAGAACAGACTACAGTCAAACAGCCATGGACCAGGCAGGCAGGGTAAAATTGAAGGCCTTCCCAAGGTTTCCTTGTTCAAGAGGGTAAATGTTTGGCTTTTGAAGTAATAATTCTTTTGTCTTATTTGATCAATTTTAGACTGCAAATTTAAATAATACAGCTGAAATTGTCCAAGATGGCCACCCATTGTTGAGGAGAAAAGTGGCTGTCTTAAACAGGTGGATGTCTTGGACAGTGTCATTATGATACAGAATAAACACATGGAAGAAGTAACAGGTGACCTTTAAAGTAGTTTCAACTTTATGTTATAAAATAGAGATTTTCCTTTTGTTTTTTATATGTTGTGTAAAGTAGTTAATTTGCATAAATAATATGTATTTGCAGGATTATATACTTATATAGGTACTATCATCATTTGCCAAGTGAACTTGTTATATTATATAATGAATTGCCAGCTCAGAAAAAAGTCCACTTTGTCAACTAAGTAGGTTCACATTGCTGGCAATTTGTCTCAACGCTGCTGGTTCCTTTTTAATTCGAAATGATCATCTACGAGGGGTATTCAATACGTTTTTACCCTAGCTTTGAAAGAAGTAAGCTAGAGAGTTGAAATTTGATGCTCACAATTTACTAATTCTCTACCTACCCAATCTGCAAATTGACAGTGTTGCAATTTTTGTTCAACCTTCAAAAGTCCTTGAACATAATGTGGCCTCGAATGGGACTAAAAAAACATTACCCCACAGCAGATATAGCATCTTCGGCACAATTTAAATGCTGTCCTTTGAGGGTTTTTTTTTTTTCAGATTTAGAAAAAAAGGAAAAAGTCAGGGGGTGCATAGGGTGAGTAGGGGAAAATTTCATAGCCACAATGCTTTGCTGTCTGGGTTTTGTTCACCTCACTGAGCATTATTATGCAGCAAGACCCTTGTATTCAAGAACCACTTATTGAAATTTTTGAAAACCCCACACACCCATACGGAGTGTTCCAAGAAGATAGAAATCACATCCTGCAAGTTTCATCTTTTGACAACAATTTCTTCATAGTTAGAGTAATGGCTTACTGAACACCCCTTGTACTTATCATTACCTAGAATAGGATTAGTTGCCATCTTTGAAATATAAGTTTACTTACTGGGAATCATAATGTACTTTATACTGTTTGAGGTATCCAAGTACTTTACGTGGGTCTCATGATTTTTCCTGCTCAGTTTTGTCTTGTCCTGTAAAGTTGACCTTTGCTGATTATTCATTCTTGCAGCTTGTTGGCCAAGTTGGACCTCAGAAAAGAAACTGGCATCCAGGATCCTCCAATTTAAATCCAAATGAAGTAGGAATTGCTGGTGCAAAACCTGTCAGATATATTGATATGATGAAGTCTATGCTGACCTATATCTGGCCAAAGGACAATCTGCGCTTTAAGATTCGTGTTGTGATTGCCCTGGGTTTACTTGTTGGCGCCAAGGTGAGATATCGAGGCTTTGTTTTTTATTGTTTGAATAAATTTAAACGCCAACACACCCGACAAAGTTCATTCAGAGACTCTATGGCTCTCATATTATGTGTGACCCATTGCAGTTTAACAATTTTTACTTCGGAACACAATTCACTGACTGATTGCCAGCCACTGCAAAGTGCTAGAAAAACAAAATTCTCATCATTAGAAAATATGATTTGATGGCTATCGCACCGCACAAACAGAAATGAAAAAAGTGGTAAAATGATTCCGTAAGTTTTTCTGGAAAAGTTCCTCTTGTATTTAATTATTATGCGTGTATGCATGTTTTTCATGAATATTATGTAAAGCGCATAGAACAATGATTGTAACACTGATTTGCGCTATAAAAATGTGATATTATTATTATTATAAGTGAATAATATAATATTATGGGATGGGGGGATATAAGAAAAGTGTGGGGGGGGGGGGGGGGGAGGGGAGGGGTAAAAGTTCCCAAAAAGGTGTAAGATTATATTTGAACTGCCCCAAACCATGCTGGTCACACCTGCCCAACGTCAGTGAGAGTTTAAGGACCTGACGCATGTGTCAGGGGATAAACTGTATTATACACCATGCAACCTCCATGCAATTTTTTTTTTTTTTTTTTTTTGTAGACACTCAAATTTACTTTTGATTTTGATTATCAAAAGTCAGGTTGGTTACTTTAATTGCAATTAGCATACCAACAAAGTATTCCAATAATTCCTTGAAATTATTTTTGCTTTACACATCTTTCAACCTTTCTTGCAACTTTTGCTAATTTTTCTTGCAACTTTTGCTATTTTCAAATGCATCTTTCTCCAGTGACAGATTATAAAAAATTTCATTATTCCGTTTGAATTCTTTACTTAAAGTACTGCAGGGTTCAGCATGGCACTGGGGAAAATAATGTGGGAATGATTAATTATAACAATGGCCTCAGTGAAATCTAATTTTGGCTCTTTTTTGCAGGCTTTGAATGTAACTGTTCCCTTCATCTTCAAATATGCTGTTGACTATCTGAATGCACCCGCTAATTGGCTTGGCTTAGAAAACCCTGGCAGCACAATTTTCACAGTTGCATTTGCTGTGATGGTTGGATGTAAGTAGTCATCGGTCTTTGAGTTGTCATGTTTTTTGTCATTTATTAATTGTAAGACAGCATGGTGAAATCAGGCGCTCATCAAAATATTAGAATTGAATGAACTGGCATTTTTCTGCCGGTTTGACAATTTTGATCGAATTTTTGCTTTTTTTGCCGAACACCTTTTAAGTCCATTTAAAATCACATTTCTGTGTAGATTTTACTGAAAAACTCTGATTAAATCTTCAGTTTCCACAGACTCTTAAGCTATTGAAATAACCGAATTGTGGCAGCCTTTTTCTTGCTAATTCTCCCTCTGAGACAAGGCGATCCCACCTCTTTCGATGGCAAATATCTCGACTTGTATGTATTCAAGATAAAGAGTGGGGGGGGGGCTCTTGAGGCCTAGAGGTTAAGGTGTTCGCCTCTCATTCAAAGGTCGCGGGTTCGAACCCGGGTAGCGACGGAAATTTTTTTTTCTCTAAAATTGTCTCCTTTCTCCTTCTTTCCTTCTCTCTAGCAATATTCTGTCATCTGCTTTCTTCTCCACTTTCTTCTCTCACCCCCTCGCCCTCTTTGCCCCCTCCACCGGGCTCCTGACTCTTTCTGCAGTCTTTCAACTGCTACTCCTTGGCTGCTCCTTACTACTGTCTTTCAGCCACACCCCTGATCTTCTGGTAGGACAGATCTTACACATAGCCTTCTCAGACAAGGGCAAAAAATCTCGGAGGTCCCGTGTGCAAGTTGCGCACGTTAAAGACCCCTTGGTGGTCCAAAATCGATAAGAGTAGGCTTCGGCCGCCTCCCGGGCAAAATTCGAATTTTCCTATCAATTGAAAATATTTGGTGTGTCCCACGCGCACATATGACCTTAGGCAGTTGCGAGCACCGTAAAACACCCAAAAAAAAAAAAAAAAAGATAAAGGGTATTTCTTTTCTATCGAAAGCAAGACAAGTACTGAACAAGCTTCATGATGATACCTATAACTTCGCATGCCCAAAAATTGACCAGCACCGGATTCCTCTGCGTCATAACACAATCGTCTTTTTTGCTGCAATGATGCAGGACGACGCTGTGATTCTAGTATTTAGAGATGAAGAAAATCAACATTACTAAAAGGGGTCTCTTGTGGCCTAGAGGTTAAGGTGTTCACCTCTCTTTCAATAGGTCCCGGGTTTGAATCCGGATAGAAATTTTTCTTCTAAAATATTGTCTCTTTTCACCTCCTTACCTGCTCTGGCAATGTTCTATTGCCTGCTTTCTTCTCCACTTTCTGCCCCCACCCCCTTTACCCCCTGCTGTCTTTCAGCCACACTCCTGACCTCATGGTGGGAAAGATCTACACCTAGCCTTTTCGGACAAGGGCGAAAAATCTCAGAGGTCCCGTATGCAAGTTGTGCACGTTAAAGATCCCTTGGTGGTCCAAAATTGATAAGAGTAGGCTTCAGCCACCACCCAGGCAAAATTCAAAGTTTTCTACCAACTGAAAATGTTTAATGTGTCTAAGCCACTCTTATTACCTTATGCAGTTGAGAGCGCCGTAAAACACTTATTAAAACATTTTTATTTCAGAAAATGTTAAGACCTTGTAGTTGCTGGTCAATTGGAAATTATCTGAATGAAATGGCTTTGTTTTCTTTCATAACTTTGCAAGGTGCATGACCATTTTCCTTTGTTTCTCTTTTTGCCTTAAGGTATATTGCTGATTCTTAGATATGTATATGTGTGTGTGTGTGCCTGGTGAAAGGTACCAAATGAAGCCTTATGAAGAATCCCAGGTTTGCATTTTCATGTGCATAGATCATTTCTGAACAATATGCTTTTTGAATTTTTAAGATATCTTCTGTAGTTTTTGAGATATGGGTGATTTTGTTAGGCTGGGTACGGAAACAAAGTTTTGAGAAAAATGACTTTAAAGTTTCTGTTTGTTTGTGCTTCAACTTCAAGTAGATAGATCTATGCTTCGGAACGACCTGACAACACATTCGCTACTCACAAACCAACTCTAAAAAGCAGCTAAGACAAAAGAACAGGTTCTAAGTGTTTATATTACGTTTTCAAAACAAATTCACCACCACCTTGAATGAGAATTTTCAAGAAGTAGATCTAGGCTAGGTTTTTGCGGGCTGAAAAAAGCTATACATGTACAAGTTTGCTCTCCTAAAAAGCGAAAGGGTGTGGATGCGCAAAGCTTCGCTTTGTTTACATGTTCCAGATAGAGAAGAGAATGACCTAAATTTTGGTATGCAATATGATTGGGTTGACTTTATGAATAGACAGGAGAAGCCATCCGCAATGATTACTTGTAAAACCAATTTTCTTACGCATTTTTGGGATTATGCAATATACCTCGGGTTAAAAAAACATCTTTAAAAATGTATTCTAAAGCAAAAGAAACCCAAGTCCTTGTAAATATCTATACATGAATGGCTAAAGAATCTATTTTTAATATAACTTAGTTTTTGAAGCCTAATATCACGGTTCGAGCAAATGCGTCTTTTGGTACCTTTCACCAGGCACGCTTATATATTATGCTGGTGTTTTCATTTTCCTCAGAGTTTTTTTGAGTTCCTAAATGGCTTTGAAGAACATCAATATAACTTTTCTGGCCATTTGATTTTACATGATTAACTAAGTATATCACTTATTTTCTTTTTTTCTTTTACCTACTTATGATTATTTTTATTTTTTTATAAGTTTGTTCCCTTACTTTTCATAGATGGTTTGGCCAGAACTGGGGCTGCTTTGTTCAATGAGCTTCGCAATGCTGTCTTTGCCAAAGTTGCTCAAAGCTCTATCAGAAAAGTGGCCAGGAATGTCTTCCTTCACCTTCACTCCATGGACATGAACTTTCACCTTTCAAGACAGACTGGAGCATTGTCAAAAGCCATTGACCGTGGGACAAGGTGGGAAATGTTCATATTTCAGAATTTCTCTTATCAGACTGAGGGGCTCGAACTGAGATAGCTGCTGGTTCCGTAAAGTAAAGTGAAATTTAAGTATATCTCTCTATATGTGAGACATTGCCATAGGTGGGGGGTCCTCAGAAGGGTCATGGAGGCCAAAAATTAATGTTGATCAATTTCAATGAATCTTTGTCTGCCCATGCACACCTAATCTGTACATATAGACATCAAATTTCAGAGCAAACAGTCAAACGGTTTCTGAGGTATGATGGTGTCTCTTGTTTAAAATTTTAATCTTGTCGTACATAACAGTGATGACAAACCTATGTGAAAAATATAAGAATAGCATAATGAAATTTCAATTTTATTGCCAGCACCAGCCCGCATTCATATATAAACAACACCCAGAAGTAAAAAAAGTGAATAAAACGATGTTACGTACTTTCTTTTTCTCTCTTTTACTCTCTCTCTCTCTCTCTCTCTCTCTCTCTCTCTCTCTCTCTCTCTCTCTCTTGCTCTCTCTCTCTCTCTCTCTCTTGCTCTCTCTCTTTCTCTATTTGCCTTTCTCTCTCTCTGTCTCTGTCTCTGTCTCTATCTCTGTCTCTCTCACGTGCACACACACTCACAAACACACACACACACACACACACACACACACACACACGCACACGCACACGCACACGCACACGCACACACACACACACACACACACACATACACACACTCATGCACTCATTCTCTCTCTCTCCTAAATGCACACACACTCTCTCAATGATGCACACACAAGCATGCACAGATGGACAAACCTGCATGCATGCTGAATACCATTCACCCAAATGAACAAGCCATTGAAAAGATATAAAATGTATTGTGTTTATGTTTGTTTTTCACAGGGGTATAAATTTCGTTCTGAGTGCATTGGTATTCAATGTTGCTCCCACCTTGTTAGAAGTTTCATTTGTCAGCTCGGTTCTGGTAAGCATTGAGATCCCTTACATTTGTGTTACGACTTTGTGGAATCAGATGTTCGTCAATTTAAAAATAAATATTTTGGGGGGGGGGGGGGGGGGGGGGCTTATGGAGATATTGGCTGCATCTTAAAGACTAGACTGTTCACGTGTCTTGCGTTTGATGAAAAAAAATACCCATCTTGAATAGAAGTTGAGAGCTTGAGTGTCCTTTGAAACTGCAAAGTCTCATTTTTGGTACCTTTCGTCAACGTATTTCAGTAAAGCCACACAGAAACATGTTTTTACAAGGACATTAAAGGTGCCGAACATAAAAATAAATGTTGGTTTCTTTGGTTTAATTTATTGACGAGCACCTTATTTCACCCTGATGCCCACTTTTAAGTATTGTAGAATGAGAAAGTTTTCACAATTTGTACATTGTTCAACATCTGAAGTTATGATAAGATTTCAATGATAATTCGTTATAATGATTTTTGTTTGTTATTTGCTTCTTGACAATTTCAGAAGTGCCATGTATATTAAGTATTTTGACGTAAAAATAGAATTATTTCATACCTAGGTCATTTCAAAAAGGAATTTCAACATCCATAAGACAGTTGATGGTTAAGAAAATATCTTCAGTGTGAAAGATGTGGTTAAATACTTGTATTTTTATACAAACTAGCATACTTGCACATAAAAACATATGATTACAGTAATGTACATATGTGTTAAAATAATTTGGATCCTTTTTCTCATTTTCTTTGCCTTAAACAAAGCACTTTTTGAGCTCATGGGTTTTTAAATATTTTTTTATTAGTTGGTGAAAACTCAACCTTACGTCATTGCAATGTTCTTCTCTGTTTCAGTACTACAAATGTGGAGGAAAATTTGCCTTAGTAACCTTGGGTTGTGTGGCATCTTATGCTATTTTCACCTTTTTAATCACGCAATGGCGGTAAGTTGTTTCTGTCTGACTGCACAATGTGGCATATTTCCTTTTTTTTAATGTAGGTTTTTTACGCCCCTATCAACACAGTTTAGATCGTTTAGGAGGGGGCTTTCAACCCTGCCAGTCAGGGCCAGTCATAGCAGAAAGACTTGAGATACTCTGTAAAAATTTTCTCTCTACTTGGGAATCGAACTCGAGCCTCCTGCTTGTTTCCGGAAATTTTCAAAGTTTTATATATGATAGTAAAGATATCCATTGTAATATTGTTGATAATATTAATTAATAGATGTAATGATAATAAATAATAATGCAGTCAACTGCAGTTAAGATCCCTGTACCTGACGTTTTGATTGGCTTGTGATCAACTCATTCACAGAAACGGAACATTTATTGCATTAAATATGTATAATCGTACCCCCTGTGCTTTTTACAAGACCAATTTGTCTAATATCCTGCTTTTCTCTATGGGTACACTCTCCAACTAAAACTTTCACAAGCATGTCTACAGTACTGGCGACATCTGGCGGTCACTCTATTGGCAGCAGCTGGTGAAGCTCAAGGCAGGCATATGTGTCGTCACTTACCATGCTAAATGTAGGGCCTGGTTACACTTTCATTTCAAGTCATCATAACCTGTCTGCTACCCAAGGAGGGTATCTCATTCAGACATGCAGGGTCTTTATCTATCTATTCACTAGTCATCTTTATGCAGTGAGATGTGGGGGCACACTATTAGCTCAGTTAGTGTCGTGCTGGGCTACAGAGCAGGCCCTGGTTCGAATCCCCAACGCCTTGTTCTCAACTTGGTTGTTTTGGGGAGTTTTTAAGGCTCTCCACCAGGTGGCTTGGTCCTATCGGAGGTGAAAGTTAAATTTGAAGGTTCCATCTCTTTAAATGACTGTTGAAAAAGATGTTACTCCTTTAGAACAATGACCAATGACCAATGATGTGTACTAAATCCTCAGGGCTCTGTGATCTCTACTTTAGATTTATGCAACTGTTATCTATTGCGTGTGTTTAGTAAAGTGTGTGTATCATACAAGGTTATTGTTAAAGATAGTCAAACAGGTTTTTCGTTAACTCTTTAATCTCTGGAGGTTTTTTTTTTTTAGCTATGCCAGAGCTCTCTGTCTCTTTTGGTATGAAGCCTGAAAATAACATATATGGCACTAATTTGTTTATTAAAGCAAAATAAATGAATCTATTTTGATAGTTCTTCATCTAATGCTGAAAACTAATACAGCACCATTGCTGTTGTAAGGGAATGTGCCCGAGCTGCTGCTAGAGGTTCACTGGCACAGTAGTTCTGACCGCGTTCGGACCATGTGCTGCTTGGGAGCGGCTTGTCGGAGATAAGACTTAAAGGTGCCTTTGATATTGAGAACTGCGCCTAATGTTCTTTTCCATCCTGTTTAGGACAAAGTTTCGGGTGATGATGAACAAGGCAGACAATGAAGCTGGTTCAAAAGCTATTGACTCCCTCATCAATTATGAAACTGTCAAGGTATGTAGGAACTTTGTACAATTTATAGAATTTTGATGTTTTTTTAAAATCGAAAAGTGTTTTATGATTTCCTATGTTAGGTTGCTCAACCTTGATGTTTGTTAGTGTTGCTTTGGATACCCTTTTTCAGTTGGGACTGGGCATTTAGCATATATGCTAAAGTACTGAGGAAACGTGCAACAAAGAATGAGAGTCAAGAGTCTTTATATATCATTGTATGACATTAAACTGAACTACGAAAGTGGGTAACTGGTTGGATTACTTCCTTAGCAGCACTACCTGCAACTTTTATTTTATTGTGGGGATAAAGGGTTGTTCTCACACTTTGGCTGTTGGAGAGTTTTTATGATTGGCCACCCTTAAGGCTTGTTCATTAAAGATGATGATGGGTGGTTGGCGGGTGGGCTGTCATGGTTTGTTTCTTTTTAAAAAATTGTTCTTATATCTCCTCCTTTTAATTGTGAAATAGAATGTAGTATCACCTCTAATCTTCAGCTTTTATTTAATTTTTTGTTTGTTTTTGTTTGTAAAGTGTTTTATGCACTCTCAACTGCATAAGGCCAGTTGAGCGCACGTGACATATTATAAACATTTTCAGTTTGGTAGGAATTTTGAATTTTACCCAGGTGGCGGCTGAAGCCTACTCTTATCGATTTTAGGACCTCCAAGGGATCTTTGACTTGTGCGATTAGCACAGGGGACCTCAAATATTTTTGCCATTATCTGAGAAGGCTAGGTGTTAAATTGTCGATTTGTGGTGAACTTATAATATCCAGACCTTTTATGTATTATACTACTCTAATAACTTGTAAATCTAAAAAGTGCTTACTCTTTGTGTTACAATCATCATCTTTCAGATTTTCTGCCCAAGAACTTTCATTTTTGCCTATTATGTAACAGAATGTCGTTTTTTTCGCAAAACGTCAATTTTTGATGTTTTTTCTCATCTACTTTTTTATTTTCTTTTTGATTCCAATGAAATTTTTAGGGCTTAATGAGTATGTAATCGAATTCAGAGGCTTGAGGGGGTAGGTCGGTTATCGTCTCTAACTTTTTTCCTACTCAAGATATCCAAGATCCCAACTGAATGAAATTTTTGCATTGAGTATATCTATCAATGTACCAAATTTGAATGAATGTGGTTGGTAAATAAAAAATGTCTTTTACCTTTATGAAAGCTGTTTATTTTCAATATGGCGGCCATTACCATGGCAACCGTATACTTAAACAAAAAAATTAAAGTTACATTTTACATATGATTTCTTGTTATACTTCCTTGCTATAAGGCTTTATCAAAAATGCCGTAGTTACGGATATATGTTTATAAACAAGCCCCCCCCCCCCCCCCCCCGTAATGACCCCAACACCAAAAAGTGTGTTAAATTAGAACCTTACTCTTCTATACACCATTAAATGAGTTAGTAAACTTAAATTTGCTCATTCCAGTATTTCAACAATGAGAAGTATGAGGCTGACCAGTATGATAAGTACTTAAAGACGTATGAAGACGCTTCCCTCAAAACAACTGTGAGCCTGGCAATGTTGAACTGGGGGCAGAATGCTGTGTTTAGTGTCGGCCTCACTGCCGTCATGATTATGGCTAGTCAAAACATCATGGCAGGTTAGTGAAGATGTCTTTACTTGATTTTTCCCCTTTTGCTGCCTTACCTTCTTCCTGCGTTACTGTGTCTGTCCTTAACGTCCCTTTTCTTACCTTTAATTTTGCCTCACTTAACGTAATGTTTTCTTTGCCTTATTTTGGGTTAGCGGATGCTCTGGTGTGGTTTTTTTCCTTCTTTCCTATCAAACATCTATTGTCCTGATCTCTCCTCCTTCTTTTTTGTGTTTGTTACTCTCTTGTAACACCTCTATTCTTCGGCACTTATAGGACCTTATTGTGTTGCAAATACTGTAAAACTCATTCTAAAACTAAATTACTTTTGCTTGTCTTTTCTTCTGCATCTGATTTTTAAAAAGAAAATCATATTCTCTTTGTCGTTGTTATGCTAACTTTCTTCTTGATACATCAGTTCATTTTGCTTTTAATAAAATAATCTTTTTTTTTTTTTTTCAAAGAAGCCTCATACAGATAAAAGGTGGTATTTTAAGATGTTCTGTCTTTTTTCCTTGTAGTTTTTTGCTTCATATCTTGTAGTATTGTAAGAAGCTCTGGCAAACTTTGGTGCACCTCTCATAGAGCATAGAGTTAATTCAACTTTATGAAAACTTTTCGTGCATTCATTTATTGTGGTTTATCTCTTTTTAGAAAATTTTCAAAAGATGGTAATCCTTTCACGTTCCAAATCATAAAAAAAAATAATTTGATCATGTATAGGTCTAACATGTTTTTCAAATGTGACATTGAAATAGATCCCTTATTTATACCAAATGATTTTTTAAAATAATTTTTTTAAGGGGACATTTGTGTTTTATTTACTCAAGTTCTTGGGTATTTTCTCGAGTTGTTGAAACATGACAGATTAGACAACATTGTTCTCTTTTTCTCTCTCCATCTTTCTCTCTTTCTCTCTTTATCTCTCTCCCTCTCTCCGTCTCTCTCTCTCTCTCTCTCTCTCTCTCTCTCTCTTTCTCCCTCTCTCCACCCCTCTGTTTCTCTCTCTCTCCTTCTCTCTCTGCCCATCTCTTTCTCTCTCTCTCTCTCTTTCTCCTCTTTGCTTTCCCTCTGTTTTTTTCTGTCTATAGATCTTGCTTCGTCCCTGCATTATATGACCATTATTGTGTCTATGTGGTTCTCATTACTCATGGTGGGTGGTTGGCATGTGCTCTGATGTGGTTTGCTCCTCCTTTCCTATCAAACATCTATCGTCCTCATCTCTCCTCTTTTCTTTTGTTTGTACGTTACTCCATCAACACCTCTAATCTTTGGCATCTGTATGACCTTATTGTGTTGCGAGTGCTGTAAAACTCTCACTGTAGCTATAAAAAACCTTTGCTCAAAGTCAAACTCAAACTCATAATCACCCCCCCCCCCCCCACTCTTCAGGCCATTCCCAAAGGGGGGACATTTCTTGTTCATGCACAGTAGAATTGTAAATGGGCTGATTCATCAATGTCACGCTTATAACTGTGCCTGATCTATAACAGGGAACTGCTGCTTTTTCTTTCCAAATCCTTACTATTGTCACTTTTCCTCTACTTCTTTTGTATGTTTGTCACACTCTTGTGACCCGCCATTTCCAGGGTGCCTTGATAGTTGAAGCAGACTTTGCGCTGTTGAAGCTAGAGAGGTGAGCAGAGTAAGTCTGATTCCCTGTAAGGACTTCTCTGTTGACATCCACCCCTTGGTGCTCATATGACCTTATGCAGTTGCGAGCGCCGTAAAACCTCTACTAAAACTTAAAAAAAAACTCATAATTGGTATTCCAGGTACTATGACTGTTGGAGACTTAGTGATGGTCAACGGACTGCTGTTCCAGCTATCGTTGCCTCTAAACTTCCTTGGTTCTGTGTACAGAGAAGTGAGACAGTCGCTCATTGACATGCACACCATGTTCAGCCTGCTGAACATGTCTCCTAACATCCAGGTGAGTGGGTAGCTGGTGGTTGCTCTGGTGTGGTCTGCTCCTTCTTTCCGATCAAACATCTGTTGCCCTTATTTCTCCTCCTTCTTTTTTGTGTTTGTTACTCTCTTGTAACACCTCTAATCTGAAGCACTTATTTGACCTATTAATGTTGCCGTAAACTCTTACTAAAACAGACCATCTAGGTGAGCATGAACCCACCAAACAGGTACAGTCAAACCTACTCCAACAGCCACCTGTCTAAGACAATCACCTGTACAAAAGATAATTTCCCAATGCTCCCCCCCAGATAGGATAATTATGTGTACACAGCTGTGCTCTTCTGTCTATTGCTGGCAATCTCTTCACCCAACCCTCTTCTTCCCCCCCCCCTGTATTTTTTTTCTATATTAAAATGACTCCAAGAAGTCCACCTTTCTTAGACAAAACCTTTTTTCAACCCATGGTGACTACACACATACACGTGTGTGTGTGTCTGTGCGTGTGTGTACAAGTTTTTGTGGAACAATTATCATCATCAATGGGTGTATGAGAGCTGTTGTGAAACGACTAAGGTGATATTCAGGCCATTGTTCTTGTCCTCAGAACAAGCTGAATGCTCCAGTACTGCAGGTCACACCCACAGAGTCTGCTATCACCTTCCAAGATGTCTACTTTGAGTATGTCAAGGGACAGAGGATTCTGAATGGTCTCAGCTTCACAGTGCCCTCTGGGAAAAAGGTGGCCATTGTGGGGGGCAGTGGATCCGGGTAAGCTGGTATATCTTGCTTTTGATGTCGTTGGGGGACTTAAAAAAAAGATAATCCCGTCCGAAGTCCAACTTAACCATTGGGACCTATAAAGAAGAAGAGGTGCCAGGACCCGAGAAAAAGATTAACTTAACCGAAGATCAACTCAAGCGAGTTCAACACAAGTGGAGTCGACTGTACTTGTGCTGTAGAATTGGGTACCGGTAGTTTCCAGATTTTTACTCCCTTCTCTCTCAACTTTTTTTTTTCAGTACCTAAATGTGAGTTCCTGAAAACGTAATGTGTTTTGACAGGTTCATGAACCTGCACTTTCACTCCTGGTCTTGAAGCTCAAGATTTTTGGGATTTTTTTTCCTTTTGGTCTGCGGATGATATATAAGTATAAGTTGATGATGTTGCAATGCTTTTTGAGTTGTAATCGCCTTTTGCCTGTTTTCTTTTTTTTAAATGTTCTTTTGTGTTCTCACTAGGAGGAGACAATAAGTGTTGGAGATTGTACGAAGTGGGGTTTTTATAGTCTAATGTAAGGAGTTTGACTAGCATTTAGAGTAACTGTAATTTGTGCAGTTACATATTCTTTCAGGCATTTTTCGCAGGTTATTTAACCCTTGGTCCCAAAGTATGAAGGCTTGAGCTCCTGCTGTGAAGGAGTTGGGAAAGAATTAAATCATTGATTCAGGAATTGATTTCCACAGTTTGACGGAATTGATTTTTTTTTTCAACTAGACTCTACTACTTTCACAACGTGCACTTTGACTCAAGACAAAGAATGGACATAAACATAAAGAAAAAGGAGTGTAGCTTCCCTTAGAGAAGCTTCATACAAAGTTTTATCATTCACATTCACAGCTGTGTTGATGAGAAACTCCTTACTATCTATGTGCATGACCCTGGCCAACGCCAGCCACTGGAAATGGCCACTCATCATTTTGGGCAGAAGTTTCGGCCGCTAGAAGCAGACTCTCGGGTATAATGAGTCAATATACAGTCAAACCTGTTTAAGACGGCCACCCATTGTCAAGGAGGAAAGTGGCCGTATAAGACAGGTGGCCGTCTTAAGCAGGACTGATCAAGATGAAGAAAACAAACCATTCCTTTCTGAGGTCCCAACCGAAAGTAGCTGCATTGTTGTTGTTGTTGATATTGTTGTTGTTGTTTTCGCTGGGGGGGGGGGGGTGTTCTTTTGTTGCTGCTTTTGTGCAAGTGTGACAATAAAACCAAATGGACCGAGTGCTATGGTAAAACAAACACACGGGTCGCCACCACTCGGAGAACGAGCGACACTTCTGTCACAAGTTCATGCTGACGTCCATTGTTACTTTGTTACAGACTGGGTAAACAGTGACCACTCATCTCACTTACAATTTGTGTATGAGTTATGAGGGATCATACGCTTACCTCATTAGCAGCTGAAAATTTGCTACCTATTGGTCAACAGTGGGAGGGGGCTATGCAACATGATCTGTTGGAGAGACTACCTAACAACAACGACAGGTGATTGGATTATGACGCCTCACCCACAACGTCGGGGGGCCAATGCATGATTTATGACAAAACGTAATGGAGTCACTAAGGTGGCCGTCTAAGACAAGTGTTATTGTTTGGTGTGATAGGGGTTGTGTGTTAAAATATGGTGGTTGCGGCCGCGTTGGACAGGTGCCCATTTTACACCGTTAAATTATGTAGAAATAACGCAAGGGGGGAAATGGTAAGTGGCCGTCTTATAGAGGTGGCCGTCAGGGCAGGTTCGACTGTATTGGGCTTTGCGTCAGTTAGATTGAAAATCTTTGACGTTAAGTTGCCAAAATTACTTTAATAATCGGTGCAGTGTCTCACAGAGCCTCTTAGTTAATTTTTAAAGATTACTGTTGTTGATATATTAATTAGGAGAACCTTCAAACACAGTATTTATCCTCCTGAAGTGTGTATTTGTGTGTGTGTGGGGGGGGGGGGGCACCGCATTTTAGTTGGAAAATGGGCCATTTACCCAAAAAGCACTTACTCTGTGTGAGTAGACTCGCAGCAGTTAAGTGCACCTGACAATGTAATGATGAAATGCAGATATAAAACCAGTGGAAAACTTGGTTTGCGTCTTGAGCCAGCATTTTGGTGATGGGTCCATCTTGAAGCTAGAATTAACAGAAGTTCTTTTTAAAAATGTTCTTAATTCTTTTTCAGAAAGTCAACAATCGTGCGATTGCTGTACCGGTTCTACGACCCAGTGGAGGGACAGATCCTAATCAATGGTCAGGAAATCAATGAAGTTGATTTGGACAGCGTCAGAAAAGCCATTGGTGTTGTGCCACAGGTCTGAACTTTTGAAACAAATACCTTGTTTGCAATCAAACTGAAAGCCATATATCTCAGAGAAGTGCAATAAAAGGTCATCTAAAAGTCTCAAACAATCTCAGACTTTGTACTCTCAAAGTTGGAAATGAAAATGCCTCTTGATGTTGTTTCAAGTAAAATGTTTTCACATCACGTGCATATTTTATTGAGAGTTTCTCTCCTTACGACATGCCTATCCTTTTGTCAGTTTGAGAGACCTGTGTGAGTGTAATGTGTTGTTGGTAATGTGAAAAATTGTTGAAAAGTTGTGTGTTTTCATGGATCAACTTTTTTTATTTTACAGACATGAAATTTTGTGCATACCAACAGAAACATGTTTCCTAACAGTTTTTTATCCGATGTAACCAGCATCCCTAGCGCCGTATTTTTTTTCGAGCACAATGTCTTCCTTGTCTATAAATTGCTGCCCCTTCAGTCCTTCTTTGATTTTGGGGGAGAAATGAAAGTCGCATGGTGTGAAGTCTGGAGAATAGCAGGGATGTTCAAGGATTTCCCATGGCCTGGAGTTCAGGAGATCAATGACATTTTGAGCTGTGTGCACAAGCACATTGTCATGATGGAGGAAAACGCTTTGCTCAAGGTGGCCCAGTCGTTTTCTTCTGATTGCTGGTCTCAGCTTTGTATCAAGAACCATCTTATTATTGTCAACATTGACTGTTGTGCCAATGGGAACCAGCCAGTTCAAAACTACACCTTTGTGATCAGAAAACATGATGTACATCCCTTACAGAGCACCTTGCTTGCTTCACACTGTCTAGGATCGTGATGATCCTGGGTTTCTCCATTTTGCTGATTGTCTTTTCAGTTCTGATCCCATGAATACACCCATGTTTCATCACCTGTTACGATTTTTGTTTTAAAAAATCTGTCCCTTTATTCCGTACCAGGTGGACAAAAACCATGTTCGTAGCACACTTGGTCTTCCTTTTGCTCATCAGTCAGAAGATGAGGAACTTTTTGTGTAAAAAGCTTTGCTTTCCTAAGATTATCCGTAAAAATACTACGAACTGTCGCCTTTGACAAAACAACTTCTGCGATATCTCTCACAGTTTTTCGTCTGTCTTCTTCAACAGAATCTTGAACCTGCAAAAATATTCATCTCTCTGCCCCTTTTTCTTACTGTTAAGATACTGGGGCAATCAATATTCAATGCCCATAGAAGATCATCATGTATTTCTTTGGGTGATTGCTCTAAAAGAACCATGCATTAGTTGACGAACATCTTATTTTGAAAACCAAAGAAAGTAAATGTAAGCAAAGTGTCATATTGACAATTTTCAGATGGTGTAGTGATGTGAAAATTGGTGTTAACAGTATACGCATGTTGAAATAATATTGCATAAAATTTCATAGTATTCACTTGAAAAACGAGTACATTATATAACATGGAAACTTTCTTTTGGTACAGACCTCGTGTTTGAAAAATACATAAGAATGATCTGCTCTGAAGGCCACTTGTTCAAGACGATCACCTGTACATACAACCACTTACCACTCCTCCCTCGCGATTTATCTGTATTATAATGACCCTGTCCAAGACATCCACTTGTCTAAGACAACCGGTTTTCTTCATGACATGGGATGGCTGTCTTGGGCAATTTCAATTGTTTTTTGAATGATCTCTTAAGTTTCTCTTCCATCCACCCCCCTCTATGACAGCAAATGTTCAATTCAGGCTTTTTGAGTGCTGTCCTTGTACAGCCCCCACCGGTAGCCGTACTTTTAGTGGGTGGTTGGTGGGTGCTCTGGTGTGGTTTTCTCCTTCTTTTCAATAAAAAAGCTATCGTCTCTATCTCCCCTCCTTCTTTTTTGTGTTTGTTACTCTCTTGTAACACCTCTATTCTTCGGCACTTATATGACCTTATTGTGTTGAAAGTGCCGTAAAACACTTACTGAAACTATACTTTTATTGATTTGTGTTGACTATATCAAAACTGCTTCTTTACAACAACTTTTCTCAGGACTGCGTTCTCTTCCATGACACTGTCTACCATAATATCGCGTATGGGAACCTGTCTGCACCAGAGGAAGATGTTCACAGAGCCGCCGAGATGGCAGAAATTCACGATGCTATCATGAATCGTTTCCCCAAGAAATATGAGACCCAGGTTGGAGAAAGGGGTCTGAAACTTTCAGGTACATTATGTTATAGAATGTTTTCTCCTGCAAGAGACTCTTTTCTCTGAACATTTTGGCTGAGCAGTTCAGAGCATTTATTGTTCCTTTTGACACCTTTAACCCTTTAACAACTGTCTGCCGATTTTATTGGCCGGTCGGCTGCTTTTGTGCTGTTACGTCTGCTATAATCAGCCATTCGTAGATCTAATATGACAACGCCACACTCAACTGCACTTTTTTGTTCACAGCTTTTTTACATTTAGAACTATATTGACTTTCACTTTTCACTGTTTTCAATTACATTCTGCTGTTTGAAGAGGCACAAAATCTTGATAAGTGATGTCAATATTTTTGTTTTCAAAACTGAGCTAGATTCACATCCTAAGAGTAACAATATAGTGTGACTTATGATTTGACACCAAAAAAAGTTCACATTTTCAGAAACAAATAAATATTCTGCTCTTGAGAATAAGTCATGTAGATATTCATCTCCTAAAAAGTGGCTTTTGGTGCCTCTTGGTGCAATTTTTAGTAAAAAAGAATATGAAGAGGTCATGAAAGGGCAAGGTCAAAGTCATTCCATTCTGTTCAAAAACTGAAAGCATATATTATAGTATGCTCATGATGAAGCTCATTCAATATATTTTCAGAAAATATTTAAGTATTTGGGTGTAGTAATTCATGTTATCAATAGTTTGGCAACCATCTGATTCATAGTGATATTTTATGGTCGGCCGAGAATATCCCGGTAACTCAAAACCACATCGGGTCACAAATGTGATGATAAAGTAACACTTTAGTTTCTGCCACCGTAAAAAGTATACATTTCCTGAAAGAAAAGGAACAGGCAACACTACAGAGCAAAGCAGCTAGACTTTGAGACAAAAACCCCCACAAAACATGGTTAATCATGCTTTTGACTTCACATTTTTACTTTAGAAAATTTAAAATATCACCAAAGGTCAAGTAAAGGTCATTTCAAAATTGTCAAAAATAAAAAGAATGCTCGTCATGTTGCTCATTCATTATTCTTCCAGAAAATGTATGGTTATATAGGTTTCCTGTTATTCCCAAGCACAGTTTGAAACCTTTTCTGAACCATATGAAAATAGACAAAACCCATCTGGCAGCACAGCAAAATGCATGTACAGTTCTAGGGTTAAGATGGTCTCCAATGGACATTGGAAAAATAACACTTTATCTATGTTACTTATCTCATCAGTTTTCCTGCTTTTCCCCAATGCGCTTACAATATTAAAAAAAAGAAATACATTGAAGATGAAAATACATCATTTGAGGTCATCAGAAGTGCACTGCATTGATGAACACAAAATATGTATGGTTTGCAGTACTAATTGAATGAAGTGTTCTTTTTTTGTTGTTTTAATTGTCTCTGAGAAAATGCTTTGAGGTGTAGAATAAGGTGGCAAGATTTTATATCACTTATGACTTGTGTTGTAGAAGCAGTGAAAGACGACTGCTAGGTTTTTCTTTTGGTAGATAAATGCATCACAGCGCGGTGGAATCAGGCGCTCGTAAATTTGGGGGCATGTGGAGTTATTGGTGCCATCATGAAGCTTGTTCATTTGCCTTGCTTTCGAAGAACAAAATGTCCGTCTTTCTCGAATAGAAGTCGAAATATATGCATTAGAAGGAGGTGGGGGTGGCCCGGTTTCAGAGGTACAATTAGCGAGAAAATGGCCGCCAAAGTTTGGAAAATATTATAGCGTGAGAGAACTTGGAAAGCGAAAAAATGTACTTTTTTGTGGCTCTTATCAACGTTTTTTGTGTGTGAAATCAGCAAAGAAATGTGATTTTAAATGGACTTAAAAGTTGTTGATCCAAAAAATGAAAATTCAATAAAAATTTCCTCACTGGCGGAAAAATGCTAGTTTCTTCAGTTTCTTTATTTTGATGAGCGCCTGGTTTCACCACGCTGCCTCACAAATTTTTTTTTTCTATCTCTTCTTATCACTTATTTTGTTATGTTACTGTATTTTAAATTTCTTGTTTGACATTATCTTATTGTGTCTTGTTTTATTTTGTATTGGGTTTTTTTGTTATCAATCATTACTTATTCAAATTGTCTTGATATAATATTTATATTCTGTCTTGTCATGTGATTTCTCATATATATTTCTTTTTATCATGTCTTGTCTTTGCAGGAGGAGAAAAGCAGAGAGTAGCAATAGCTCGAGCAATCTTGAAGGATTCTCCTATCATAGTTTATGATGAAGCCACCTCATCTCTTGACACAATCACAGAGCAGGTAAAGAAGCCTTGTATGAATGTGTTTGCTCTTCTGTGCTCATCTGTTTGTGGCATGAGTGACCAATGAACCAACTTCCATCCAAAGTTTTTTATGTTTTAGTAAGCGTACTTGCAACACAATTAGGTCATATAAGTGCCAAAGATTAGAGGTGTTACAAGAGAACAACAAACACAAAAAGGAGAAGAGATAAGGACGATAGATGTTTGATCGGAATGAAGGAGCAAACCACACCAGAGCACCAACTACCCACAGTTCAAAGTTTGTGGATGTATCTCTGGGCCGTATGTTGCATTTCTGGAATTATGCTGAACAGGGCATCCAGTTTGAGGAGTTTTCATAGCACTCCACCTATTTGGCCACAGTCATGTTGGCGATGTGTGTTAAATTGGAGTTGCAGTCTTTGGAGCTACCTTACCGCTCCCGAAGGAGTATTAGTTTCATATCATTCTCTAAACGCTCTGTTCTTATCTTACTGGTACACCTGTTCAGTGGAGGTGAAATATTTTTTGGTTTTTTATTGGGTTTTTTCTGAGTTGATTACTTTGGTTGTTCTTTTTTCATACTGTCTAAATCTTATAACAGCAGTTACCCATCTTTCTGTATTTTATTTTGTGGGTTGTTGGTATAGATGACCAATGCTTCTTTTCCAGTTCTACATGACCCTTAGTTTTATGCTTTGCTTCTCTTCATCAACTTTTCTTTTTGTGCTCCAATTTCAGAACATATTACAAGCTTTGAGGCGGATTACTCAAGGTAAAACCACCATTGTGATTGCTCACCGCCTGTCGACGGTGATGGACGCAGACCAGATTCTTGTGCTGGACAAAGGTCGAGTGGCAGAACAAGGCTCTCATATGGAGCTCATGTCTCAGCCAGACAGTCTCTATGCCCATCTGTGGGAGAAGCAAAGCCAAGCTCTGGACATGAACAATAACAACAATACAAAAGCTAACAATGAGAAAGACAGTAATGGTGGCGTTATTGATGAAAAGGATTCTATACCTCATTGATGACGGCGGGCTATGTTTAGAAATCATGAAAATTGTGTTGTATTAAAGAGTCCAGTACAGTCTGCCTTTCTCTTCTGATGATAACATTTTTGCCTTTACACTGTTTTACAATTCAAACTTTGTTGTGCTCCTAAAAAGTGGAGTTAAAAAAAATCAGAACTACAGTTGTAAGGGACTAGAGTACTTTTGAGAATTGTATACACTAGAAAGTACTTTTAATTATTAAATTATTTATAGTTGGCCAAAGAGTCGTGTAAATGCTGTGTGCTTGCTGTGTGTAGAGAGTTGAAGCTATACTATCAGTTGATTGGTGTGTTTCCCTTTCATGAGACTTTGTCCCTTATGAGAATGTTAGGTCATGGCTACACATAGTCACATAGAGAAACATCAAGACTGGACAAGAATCAATTTGATTAGTTATCTAGACTGATAAGGAATTAGTTTGGCAAACTTTACTACAAAGTTTTAAATTCATCTGCCAGCTGAAAAAACTTTGTAACCTCTCAAGTTTTCTAAAACCATCTGTGGATCCAATTTTCTTTTAAAGCTTCGAGAGAAAAGAGATGCTCAATGTGCCAAGACACATAAGCTTTGTCCCTGGGTAGTGATACTTAATTGTACTTTTTTTCCCCTTATGTTCTTATGAAAGTAGTGTATGTTGTAAACAGTCCTGAAAAAACAATGAAGTTAATTTTAAAAAGAGTAGAGACGGTTTGCTTTTAGATTAGTAGTATGCATACCAGTGTTTGCAGGATTCTGTTGTGTATAAGAAATCTGTTTTCTACTTTTATGTTTTTATTGGTTGTAGTTGATGTTAATACATGATGTGTGAGCCATACTTAAGTGGTTGAGATTAGTTTATTTGCTTTTAACTGGTGAAGTTTTTGGATCGTAAAATCAAAAAGTGTTTATGTAAATTATTATATTTCTATTTCTATCTTCCTGTCAGTGTCACTGATAAATATTGAAATAGTTGCATTTCAGTTTTTATTGATTTGATTAAAAAAACGATTTTTTTAAAACAATAGGGGCACACCTTCTAGGGAAATCAGTCAGTCTGTCTTATGTAATGTAATCATTGACCTGATGGTTCTCTTGTGTGTTTTTTGTTAGTGGGTTGACAACTAAAAATGGAGTACCGGTACTGAAATAGTTGTATTTCATTTTTGTTGATTCAGTTTTTAAAAATTTTGCTTGAACAATTGGGCATACTTTTGTAGGATATTGCTCACAATTTGTTGTATGTAATGTAATATTTGACCTGTAGGTGACATTCCCATCCAAAAATGAAATTTCTAATTGTGGGGACTATTTAGGCTACTGTGTTTAATAATCTACAGATGACTTAATATAAGGTATCTTGGAAAATCTACATCTTCTAAATAGAACTGCTGTGATATTTTCAAAATTAATTTGTGTAATTTCGTTTATTTCCCACTACTGATTTTTTTTTTCATTTAGGATGTATGAGAGCAGTATAAGTGGACAATGTAAATGTTGAAGGTTTCACACCAGTCTGTGTAGTAACTGATCTGTCCGTTTCCTTGTTGTCAGGGGTCCATAAGACACTTAATAAGGCACTCTTGCCTTGTCAAAGCAATTTAATCAGAAGTAGATATCATGTATTCTTATTTAGTCTGAGATACATAAAGTTCAATTAATATTTTTGTATGCTTGTTTGCATGCTCGGGTGATTTTATGTAATCGTGTATGTTTGCGTAAAATATGTGTATACTTGTGTGGGTTTGCATATTTATTTTAGTGCAGATGTTTGCAAGTGAAGGTTAATTTTTTTGCTCTTTTATATGTTTTTTTTTTTCTTGAACATCTATTATTATATTATTTCTAGTATTTTCTTTTTCTTTTTGAATACATTTGCAGTTCCACAAAAAAATAGATGGAAATACTGTCTGGAGGTGGGGTTACCTTACCTATTCTCATCCACATTAGCTGCAATGTAAGCATTGCTTTGCTTAAACTACGTTGATGGATATCATTTTGAAAACAATGAGGTATCGTGTCTAATACGTCCAGGCTTTATGTACCAAGGCTTTTTTGTTATCTGCTCCTTGTAACAAGAAAGAACCTGGCGAATGAACAGTAGCTTATCAGATGGCAGAAAGGCTGTTCCTCTTGCGCAGCATGGTGAATAATTGTTTTCTATCTCCTCAAATACTAAGCGGAGAGGGCTAGGTTGAAAATATTGTGGAAGCCAGAAAAGCATAACTAAATCTCAGTAGGCTACTGTTTTCGGTATCATACCGAAAGAATAAAAAATGAATGAAAATTGTACCTGGCACCAAGCACAAGCTAGTCAAAACCTGTGAAAAGGTTTGGTCTGGACCCTAAGGTTGCTTGTTATACTTCAGGAAATCGGGCATTCTTCTTTTTAGCCACTTAGCTTCATTAACTCTTTTTTATCTGCTTTCATTATTTTAAAAAGTACCATATCGGGCTAAGTGTACATATTTTCAGCCGGTTTTGATTGTGATTTTTATTTTTTTCTTTGCTGCTTTATTAGGCTTTTGTATCCAAGAACATGTCTTTCAAATAGTTTTTGTTGTGCTGAGAGTCGGAAATTAAAAGCTATAATAATTTCTTGTATTGCTGGTATTAAAATATTGTTTTTTCAAGAGTGCCAGTCTTACGTTAGATAGAGTGCAGCATGTATGCTAAACGTTTGTGTTGTTTTTGTTCTTTTAGTTCGTAGCGTATACACAGCCTCGTGGCCTACCGAGCGCATGGTATCGGTGAAAAAGGGGTAATTCAGATGGCTGTATCTTTGCTATAAGACACCAAATGCTGTACACCTTGTAAAAGTTCAGCTTTTCCTTGTTACAATGGTGTAAGTTGTTTGTATATTATCTGATTATTTGGAGCTGGATAATCGCCGTGGAAAGCGAAGCCCCTTGCAGTCGGAATGTGTGGTCGGCTGGTTAAAAAATTTACACAAGTGCATTCAAATGCTTCGCAGAAACATTTATGATTAAATACCGTCTTTTCATTGGTGGAGAACTGTCGGATTTAGGTTATCATGTTTCATTCAATTTGAGAAAGAGCTCAAACACAGTGAATCCATTGCTGGCACAGTTCCGTTCTAGGACAAACAAAAAACTGGGTGCTGCACGAGCCAAAATTTTACAAACTGTACTTTGCATTGAGCTTAACACAGTGCAGCCATGACAACACTGGTTCGTCCCCATGCTAAACACATCCCACAGCTGGCGTTTTGCTGGTGGTTTCAATTTTAATGTTGCTATAAAATTTGGCCAGATTTCATCTGTTGTTATATCAGCATGGAGGTTGAAAGATAAGTTGGAGCTATGTAGAAGAGACAAATTGTTTACAAGTAATAGTATGTGTGAATGTAAGGATGGATGGTTGTGTTTAACTATGTATGTGTGGATGGATGGTTGGACTGATAGAGCAAAATAGTTTTGGATTTTGCTTTATTACTTTATTTCCAGACTTGTTCATGAATAAAAGTTGAAAGCTACTTGGTTCATTTGTGGTGCTTCCATTGTTAGTTATGAGTTTAATTTCCTATCGTTATATAATTTTGGATATATGCGTGTCACATACTGGTTTATTGTAAGGTCAAGGTATAGAATACACGCAATAATTTGTAGCAGTGTATGTACCTCAGTGTGATCAAAAGCCATTCTTTTTCTGGTATGCATTCCAAAAATGTATTTCTCATTTTTGAATGGGGTCGAGCCAAATCCTGCAGATGGTCGAATACACTTGGCCTCATCCATCCTCTTCTCTTCATTAATGAGAACTTCATCAACTAGGTGATGGAACTCTCCATGTAACCCTCTTTTCATGAATTTTGTGAACTTAGTACCTTACTGATATATTTCCCTTTGAAGCAATGTAATCAGCAACAGGGTGTGTGCAGCCATATTGGTTTGATTTATCTACACATGCTCACTGTGACCACTCCTGAAAAAACACAAAAACTGCAGGTGCTGGAACGGGTGCCACATTGTTGTCAACTATTTTTGAACCTGTTCAGATCCTTTCCAAAGCAGACCCGATTTTTTTTTTCGCTGGAATGCAAGTGTGCCGGCAATGGGTCCGCTATTTTTTTTGAAAGCTCTAACACTATAATATCCTCTCAAATTGTTAATGGTGACTGGGCACTGTGATGTGGTCTTCTCCTTCAGTCCATTCCATTTATAACAGCCTCTGTCATTACAGGAACTTGGATATAACTGTAAGTAATATGAACTTGGCTGTAACAGAGTTCAATTTGTGCAGACTAGGACAGTGATCTTGCAGTGCATGAACTTGCTTTTGATCCGTCAAATTATTAAAATTTGTCTCAACCAAAACATTTCACCTGTTTGTATGATCGCTTGCCTAAACACAAACTTTCAAACACATGCCCCCCCATAGTGTTGGGGGTCACTGATCGATTCTGTCTCAATGTCAACAAAACAGCCCATTGGAAAAGGATCTGCGGTAATCCAATATAAATGTAGTAAGCTGAAGGTGCAATGGTACTGGTAGTACAGTGGAATCCTGTAATAACGAGAGGGAGGGGACCGGTGCGAAATGTCCGTTATAGCAGGATTCTCGTTACAAGGGATCCAGTAATAAATTCAAGGGAAACAGTAAAGTAGGCCTAATCTATGATTTGGCGTTCTGTTTATTCCTTTTTGTATTTCCCCCGATGATGATTTGTTCAACATGATCTCAAGGTCTTAATTGATCAAAAATCGAACCAGGTTTCTTTCTCTAGCACTAGTAATGTTGACAAATCGGCCTTGGCGAACAGAAAGAAGGGGCTTTGGCTCTAGGCTAACTCGCCCGCAGTGCTGCATCTGCTCGCGCACGTCATACATTCACTACATCCATCTATCACAGCATTGTGACCTCTCCATCCTGCACCAGAGAAGTGAGAGGCATAGTATGTCTAGATAATCTAGACTGGGCTGGCCTATTACACGATGCGTTCTGCTTGTGTCTGCGCACGCCACACCCTCCCCACTCATTTGCTCCGGCCTTCATTGTTGGTTCGTGTACGCTCTCCCATTCCTTGTTTCGCTGGATCACCGACAACTTTCTCAACTGGCAGGGTTTTATAATAATGTTTAATTGGTCTGTGCACTGTGCACAGCAGCAGCAATATTCCGTTATAAACGACTCGCGTAACGGTCTGATTGCGCAATAGCAGTATTTTATTTACAAAGATAAAGAAGGAAAAAAAACGGGGCTTTAGAACAGTGTCTTTATAACAGACTTCTCGTTGTTTCAGGACTCGTTATAAGTGGACTCCACTGTATCCCTTGATAACGGTTATTACAGGACTTGCTTATAACGGAAAAACTTCTGGTCCCGTTTGTGTCCTGTTATATCCGAGTTCGACTGTAATAATTGACAACCATCTATAAATGTGAGCATGCCTGGTGAAAGCGACCAGAAGACGTATTTTGAAGAATCCCGTTTTGTTTTTTTTTCATTTCCTTGTACAGAGATAATTTCTGAACAGTATGCTTTTTGAATTTTAAAGATATCTTCAGTAGTTTTTGAGATACGGGTGATTTTGCAAGGCAGGATACGGAAACAAAGTTTTGATAAAAACGGCTTTAAAGTTTCCCCTTTGTTTCTGTTTGAAATAGATAGATCTACGCTTCGAGACGACCTGACAACACATTCACTACTCACAAACCAACTTTAAAAAGCAGTTCAGATAAAAGAAAAGCTTCAAAGTGTTTATATATGTCTTCAAAACAAATTCACCACCACCTTGAGCAAGAGTTTTCAAGAAATAGAACTAGGTTTGTGCAGGGCAGAAAAATGCAATACAAGTTTGCTCTCCAAAGAAACGAAAGGGTATGGATGCACAAAGATTCGCTTTGTTTACATGCTCTAGATATTCATGCGCAGTACCTGCCACTAGAGAGGAGAGAGAATGACCTAACTTTCGGTATGCAATGTGAGTGGGTTGACTTTATGAATGGACAGGAGAAACCATCCGCAGTGTGTATTCGGAAAACCAATTTTCTCACGCATTTTTGGGATTATGCAATATACCTCGTCTTAAAAAACATCTGAAAAATTTTAAGATATATTTTAAAGTAAAAGAAACTCAAGTCCTTGTAAATATTGATATATTTTAATGGCTAAAGAATCCATTTTTAATGGAACTTAGTTTTTGTCCAAAATTTTATTTTTGACCTTTGAAGCCTGATATCTCCGTTCGAACAAAAGCGTCTTCTTGTCCCTTTCACCAGGCACGCTCACAAATGTCCACATAGTACTGTTTTGTTATCTTTTTATAAAGGCAAAATCACAAACAAAATGGGACAAGATAAGGGAAAGACAGTTTTATTGCTCTTATAATTAAAAAAAATATGTGTGGCTCTGAGAGCACCAGTACAGGAGGTCATTTTGAGTCATTGTCAAAAGGCAAACAGGCCCAGAACTCATTTTTTTTTTCAAAAAGGTTTCATAAAAAAAATGGAAAAATCTAATCCTGTTGTATTTATATATTTAGAGGACATCGCAACATGGGTAAAAGTTTGCCGGCTGTGGCCAGAAATTTCAGCGAGAGAAATCCAGTCGGCATCATTGTGCCAGCAGCCTACAACGGCCGTCCTTGACTGGACTAGCGTCGATCTCGTGACGCACGTGTTTCTTTCGTTTACTTTGACAACTGTCTAAAAAAAGTCCAACTTTCTAACTCTGCTGCTCGAGTTCGAGCGTAAATCGACAGTACAGGGGTGATTCGATTACCTTTTCATGTAAAGCTCCTTGTGATGCTATGAGTCTGAAGGTTTTCAGGCAAAATGGTTGTGACCAACTTTTACCCATGCATCGCAATCAAATTTTGCTCAAATCTGAAGTCATCTTGATCAATGTTTCCTCTAGAAAAAGGACACTAATTTTAATGGGAACCTCATGTTTTTTTACCTAATGATAGAGAAATTTACAACTGTTCTTGGGAAAACGAGAGGGAATTAATATTTCAACAGTAGAAAAAGTCAGAAAAACTTTCCTTTCTCCTCTTTAAGCAGCCTTTTTATGGACAAATTGTAAATCATCTTTTCAAGACATACTCTTCGGACCCCCATGTACTTTACTTTAATGTTGAAGCCACAAATCTTTACAGAATGCTTCAGTAGCATCCAAAGTAAAATGCAAAATGCTCTTTTGAAATAAAGGCCTATATACTTTTAAAAAAGGAAGGTTTTGAAAATATACACGCCTTTCGATGGGTTTTCTCGGAGCCTCAAATATTTCAAGATAGGGTATATAATATAATGAAAGCACAAGAGGTCTTGTCAAAGCTACAGAACTCCTGTAGTGAAAGAATGTGAAACAAGTGAATGTACAGAAGGCAATTTGGGGAGGGAAGCATTGGAAATGAGCAATTTAAAAAAATAATAACTTTCCCACAAAATAATCTATCAGTCTGGGAACACTAAGCTTTCTCATGCTGGAAACTTGAACAGAGCAAGTTTTGAGGTGACCTCATTAATTTTGTAAATTACTTTATCAGGAAAAATGCTTTTCCATTAGATATTATTTATCCCCAATAAAAATTATTTCGATATGATTTTTCAACAAATGAACTTAAATGCCTTCATATCTGACACAGAAACACGTGCCATTAAAACAAAAGTGACACCTTGAAAACAAAACAAAGGCCAATTCCTTTTGGTGGAGAAAATGGATGTTCAAACTTCAACTACATAATTTTGTTAAATAGAACTTTTTACTACACGTGTATTACACAAAATATAAAAACTGGCAGGGAAAAAAAAGCCATTGTGGCAGATACAGAATCACTCTTAGGTATGTACTATGAAGTTAACAAAATATCAAGTTTTCGTTTTATTCCCAAAATACCGCAAATGTCATTTTTAAAAAGCAGTGTGCCTTATAAGAAAAAGACACACAGTCAAACCTCGTTTAACCGCCTTCCTTGGTTTGTATTTTGTTTGAGTACGGAGAAGCACATCGACACAATAATGGTCATTTAGTGCTGTGGGGGAAAAGTAAGACAGACCTACAGAAACAACAGAGGAAAAGTAAAGAAGTAAGACCAACCTGCGGAGCCCTCCAACCACCCACGCCTACCTTGGGATGAGCATAAATTTGGCTATACAGTGGGGGCTGGTGCAGTAATGGGGTCGCACTGATTATCATCTTGACTAGTGGAAGACTGGTAGAGAATAGAGACTAGAAACAACTGTAGCCAGTCCTGCCTCATCTAGATCTCTCTTGCACAACTGCCTTGCCCAGGAGATAAAAACAAAACAAGTCGCAATCAATTACATGTAAAGTACAGCTCCTGCTAAACTTAACATAAATTCAAATTGAAAGAAGCAAGGATCAGAAGCTAGGCTAAATGTGTCAAGGACCACGTAAGCTAGCGTTTTTTTAAAACCTTTCTTCACCCAATACTCCTCAGTCCTCTCGTGGCCTTCGATATGTCATGTACACACGAGCATGGTCCTCACAATAGAAAAACTGCACGGGCCC